CGCACATTGAGACTCGTAAGAAGACTTACCGGTTGGCTTCAGTTTAACCGAGCAATATTCGCAGAGACATCAGGGAATTCGTGGAACCCGGCAACATTCGCTGGAAGAGTCAACCTGGGACACTATTGATACTCAACATGAATCTCGGGTATTCCCATTGTTTGGGTAAGTGCACCTCAACCTTCGGGGATTCGCCGGAGTGGAAAATGAGTAGTGAGGATAAAATTGCACTGAAGATTCAGAAAGGCCTATCACCACCGGGACGTAACTGAAAGCTATCTCTATCTTTTCTCACATTTCTTCATCATTTGAGGCAAGTTGCTTTCTGTTAACTTGCTTGATATTTGCTTCCATACTAGCACACTACGTAGTTACTATTTTTATGTAGCAAATTTTCTCTCTCGTAGTCTGTTCTCAGTTTTTACTGATCTCTTTAAGTCTGTGTTGATGCCTAGCACAATAATAACAGTACCCAGAATCACGATGCTTAAACTATCCAACGGGCCCTCATCCGCATACAAGGGAAACAACGGGAATAAATGTGGTTGTGGAAAGTGCCGTTCAGGTGAATTAGAGGAAACCATGTCGTGCACCTGCTACCCTAGGTATCGTAACAAATGCAGCGGGCTATCTTAAGAAAACTACGAAGTGTACAAAAAATACAAGAGCCTGAAATGGAATTGCGTCTCATGCAAATCACACTCAAAGAACATTGCTCAACTAGAAAGGAAGATCGGAGGGGCGGGTGACAAACGGGTCGCGACAGAAAGAACAAGGAAGGTGAGGTGAGCAAAGAACCAACCAGTACTCATATCAAAATTGCTACAGGAACACTAGAGATGATGGATCGGGTGGAAAATCAGCGAAGCCGAAGCTTGCACGCAGTTTTATAGCTGCGGTCTTATTATAGCCTTATAATGAGGCATGAAAACCTCTGCCTTCCTCAAAGATAGAGTCTCCTTAAGCTGGCATAGTTGCCCCCTCGCATTTTGTGTGACATTCGAATCAATGCGTCAGTGTCCGGCAGCTGCAGCCAAAGGCAATAAGGCGCCTCGACAACTCATGAAAGCTGTAACCTCTTGAGAGGCATAGCTGATGTTTCCCCTAGATAATAGCCTTGTGAAGTTACTTATAGAACACTGCGTTGAGGCCTGGGTGCCTTGGTGAAAGACCTTAAGCTCCCAGAGTTGGTTCTAAGAACCTCGCCGATTCAACGAGTTGTTTGGCGATCTAGAAATTCGCGACCGCATCATCACATGATGCAGCTCCTTGGTACCAGAGTTCTCGAGGAAGCAATCCTACGCCAGCTTTGGTTGAAGCGCCTCCCTCCTCGCATCCGCGAAGTTTTGTCTGTCCTCCACAACAGTTCGTTGGACGAAATGCCAATGGAAGCAGTGGCGTAGTGGTCTCATCTTTTATACTGTGGGAATAAGATGCCTCTCTTCCATGGTGAATTGAATATTTTTTATCTAGACAGTTGGAAGAGGGTGATATAGTACGGGACAAGGACTGAGGAAGCTACTTTTAACACTGGAAGGTGTATACCGTCTGGTCCCATTGAACTAAAGGGATTCACTGATTTGAGGAGTGATTTAGTCTTTCTTGGGAGAATGATGAATTGTTCTAATGGGAGAGGTGTTTTAATAAGGGGTAGATTGGGTTGGGAAGAGACAGAAGGAAATTTGTAGGCGGATTCATAATGAGACCGAAAGATTTCATTTACCTGAATTTGTGGCGGTTACAGGAGAGCCGTACGGAAGCTCAGGTCTAGTGAACAGTGGATTGATTCCTTTGAATGACTTGAAAAAGTAACTAGGGTGGCTTCGGGCCTGAAAAAGAATTGCTTTCCGTTGTCTTTCTTGGATTTACCTAACTCACTGCTCACTTGAGCTCGACAGCATCAGCGTGGAACCCAGTGCAAACGAACGCGCCCGCTCGTCCATTATGTGCCGGATGGAGTGTTCAATAAAGATGTTTACAAGGGGTACACCAGAAATTCTATACATAGAGTGGCATCTGGGTCGTGTTACTAAACTACTCCCTCATCCATCGACGCCAGAAATCATTACCGAAGTGATTCACTTGTCTTCACCGTCCAATGTAACTCTCCGTCATTATGGAACCTTCTGGGTTTTGATCATTCTCCGTCAATAGCAATAAACTGTTCGGAGACAGTGTTTATCTTTTCCTATCATCCGACAAGTACGGCAGCAGCGGTCGTCTATTCAATATATTTTCGCTTTCTACCAAATAAATTGAAATTGCTTCCTCGTGCGTTAATTGCTCCCTTGTCAACACAAGCAGTAACATGCACACGGAGCAGATCATCATCTCTCATACATCTCCCCTAGCACTTGATAAGGACGGGTTAAAGAACT